ATCTTTTATGGATTAAAGTTCTTACAATAAGGTGAAGCATAAAGATTTTATGGGCTTTACATCTTTTATACCAGCCTGGTATAATATGTAGTACTGCCCTCTCAATTTTTTTACACAACTTTTGCAATAAATTCCGTATTGCAAATCGGATGGTTTCTTTAATGATGTTGGGTTATTTATATTATAGTTTTTGTAAAATAACAAAATGTCTCTGTCTTCAATCAAATCTTCTTTAGACAATAATTTTGTTTTGCAATAATTGCAATCAAATTTTTTAATACATTTTTGGATTATAAACCCAGCAAAATAATTTATTGCACATGATTCCAAGTTCTTTTCGAAATTAAATAGTTCATTTTCTTGTGAAGGTTCTTCTTCTGAAGTGCTAATAGAGGATTCGTCACTTTTCAACATTTCATTGTTGTCTAGTAGTCTTTCCATTGGCAGTGGTTCACAATTACCTGTTTTTGGAGCTTTTAATAAATTATGAACTAAATTACTTTTAAATGCTGCCTTAAATGTCCGTACAGTGGGATTTTTATTATATCCTCCACGTTGACGGTATATAGAAAATAGATTTTCGAGGATGTCCTGATTTAGCCTGGATGTTAGAAGAAATTTATACCCCTTTCGTTGCTGTGTTTCGAAAATTTGTTTTATTGAAGTTATAGTTAACTGCCATCCATCAAAACTTGGGGTGGTTTTCATTACATTTTTACTTATTTTTTTAATCGACTTCATTGCCTCAGCCATTTTATTTAAAGCTGCAAAAGCTTCGTTATTTGCCTCTGATAATGCCCTTTTACAAGGTTTTTTATCTTGTAAATTTCTGCTGTTCAATGCATTAAAGGCATTATCGACTATTTCTATAAATTCCGCTGTTGCTGAACAAGTATCCGTGCTTAATTCTTTAGTGCCGATAGCTGTTTGCATTGCAGCAGACACACTATGGCTAAATAATTGTGCAGCTAATTTTACGCTCATTTTTTGAAATGTATTTGGGTTTATATACTGTTCATTTATTTTTATTAAAGCTTTCCCAGTGTCGCTTTGTTGGTCTAAATCGAATAGCTTTCTTATATCATCAAATGAAATTCTTTTCTTCTTCCATATAAAATCTCCGCTAAGCAAATTATTTCGCAAACTCTTTAATAAGTGAGGCGGATCAAATATAGCAAAATATTTTCTTTTGTCCACAAAAAAATACGGTTTATTTATTGTTACTTTTAAAAGTTTGTATAGTTTTTGGTTTGTCGTAGCTTGTTCGCAAATAATACCAATAGGTTTAACGTTTATTTTTTTTAACATCGTTAAAGTGTGACAAATAATTTTTTTTAAACTTTCACCGCCCACCCCACTTGATGTTAAATAAAACGATAATGGGGCTTGCCAATTACAATATACACCTCTAATTAATAATACTAAAGCATGTTTAGCCGCAATTGGCTTTCTTCCCAGTTCCCCAAGATCCTCAAAGCCATCTATACTTCCAGTCTTCTTACAATATTCTAATTTTTCTTTAATACTCATCTCATCAAAGGTAAGTATACATTCCTTATCTTTACTACTCATAGTATCAAATTTAATTTTTAACTGTTTGTATATACCTTTGTTATATCCCGTTTTCATATTGTACTGAGATAACCATTTTCTTATTATTGAAGGTGATGGTAGAATCACACCTCTTTCCCTCATGAATTTATACACTGAGGGTGATTTATAATATAATTATTAAATTTTCGAACAACATCAAAGAGACAAAAAACTTTTAGAATATTTTCATCTATCTAAATGAAAATTTTCCAATGTATTTATCATCTTCATAAAAAAAAATATAGGCAAATATTGAACGGGGTTGGCTACGTTTAGTAACTTAGAAGAGAATATTGAAAGTACAAATAAGCTAGAAACGTGCCCTATTATAAGCTAAATTTATTTCCCAAATTTCATTTTCCTGGTGTTCATGGTTTTCGAGAAAAACAAATTAAACCAAAATTTTCCGCCATCTTTGAAGGGGCGTAGCTCCCCAGGGGACTCGATGTCGCTCATGGTTCATATAAGAAAGTACCCTTAAAATTTGCTAAAGAATCACCCCTGAAGTTTGGGAACGTCATACAGATACACCTGTATATTCACAATTTCCAAAATTTTACAAAATGGCTGGCAAACCAACCGCCGCCCCACCCCTCTATTTGAAAAAAAATTTAAAAATTTATAATAAGAAAGAAAAGGTACCAATAACATAAACAGAATAAATAATATAAAACAAAAAAATGTATTGCATTTTGAGTATAACATTCCTAAAATGCAAGTAATAATTAACGAAACGAAACTATATATTCAAAAAAAAAGATAGGTTGCAGCCCATAAAGCCCATACATAAATCCGGGACTGATCCAGAAGCTTTAGCTTTTTGCCTTAAGGGAGATATTGGATTGGTCGTGGAAGTCCAATACCGTGGCCAGCAAAATCACCTGGTCTAACTCCCTGCGACTTCTTCCTTTGAGGATACGTCAAAACCCAAGTGTAGGAAAATGTGTTGTACCTTGGACCGGTAGTAGTTTTAGGTAGTCATAAAACAAGAATCTACAAACTTAATATTTGCTCCACTTGAAGATATACCCGACAAATCGGATGGGTTTGGGATTCCCATTATTTTTAATGTTTTTAGTATCATAAAGTAAGTTTTTATGCTTGATTAAACTAAATAATATTTTGAATCTACATTACGATAAACATTACGTTAAAAATTTTTGGTCAGGTAAGTTCTCTGTTCATTTCTCTTTAATTTAAAACTAACGGAGATGCTTGTAAACATAATCTAATAAAACGGAAACTACTTTTCAAAAATGTTAACAAGACCAATAACATGTTACCTTGGACTTTTGTAATGATTACCTATAAAAGAAAATTTCTAAATTTAGTTTAAGTATGACTTTATGTTTTTAGAAAATGCCACGAAAGTAAAGTAGGTAATAAGCGACAGTCGGTCAATAAAAGAAATTTATCATCGGCAGTAGAAGATGTTATTGTGCACAAATTCTCTGTTGGTCAAGCCGCTGTAAATCACCAAATTGCTAAGACAACACTACTTCATCACTTGAAAACTCATCAATTAACAATATCGCTCTATTTAAGGATATCCAAGGAAAAACTATACCAATTTTTGACTCTCTAGCCCAATGGTTCTCAACCTTTTCGTGGTGGCGAAACACTTTTGACAGTAATACAAAATAGCGGAACACCATCTTTAGTTAGAAAGGCTAAGTCCAGGGTTGCCAGTTTACACACAGAATCTCGTGAGCAATGTCATAAAAAATCGTGAGATGTTGAAATTTGTTTAAAAATCACTCAATTTTAATAATTTGTGTTACATATAGGCATAGAATTCAAGTAAAATAGTTTAGACAACGTTTATATACAGGGTGTTTCGGTGACTCGGGGAACAAATGTAACCACATGTACTAGAGTGAAAATGATGACGATTCATGTAAAAAAAAATTATTAAATGTCCTCAAATTGCAAAGATACAAGCCACCAAAGTAAGGAAATTTTAACACATTTTTCTAAATATCTTAAACACTATTTATGGTAAAGCGGCGAAATTTGGTACAATGTAAACTAATACCACGTAAATCATTAGACAATTTTTGAGTTGCATTGATACGCGGGAACAATGCTATACAGGCTGTTCCTAAAGTTTGTTTCTCAGAACTTTTTTATTCTATCATAACCCTACATTTATTTTTGCAGTTTCTAATAGTAAATTTAGTTTAGAAACTTTTATCACTTTTAGAGAATATTGATAAAAACCACCGTTTTTGTATTAAATGCAAAAATGTTAGGCTCCGAATACACTTTTTTAGTGCTATTATTGAGATCGGAACTCAACTTATTTAAATATCTAGATATATACTAGATATAGTATTAGATAATACATAGTACGTGTAGTGTAAGAGTGATATAGAAGTTAATGCAAAAAGATTAAAACATTGACACTGATAGAGCAAGTAAAAATTGTGAAACGTGTTTTTTAAAAATTGTGAAAATTTTTGCACAAAAATAAGTGGATTTTCAAAGTAGCTGCTGCAACAACCCAACTACATATTGAAATTACTGTAATAACACGAACACACAGGTTTATGCAAAATGGCCAGAATATTGACACTGTTAAAGAATGGAGGTAGAAATGTTTGCAGAAAGGGACGCAGAACTTTGTAATTTGAACATTAACACAGAACTTTTTGCAAAAATTTAAAGTAATAAAAAATAATGGCAGTTATCCGAGAAAAGTGGAAGGAAGGTTTCTAGAGCGTATAGAAACACTGGCAGAATTGTTTATCTTTTTGCAAAATGATATTCACTTACACCGACAAGAAGCTTTTGTACGAAGAGGACAACAGTGGTCATAACAAAAAACTCTAAAATTTCTTTAGAAGAATAAGTAAGAGGCTCCTACACAGCAGTCAAAACCATTATCGTTAATAGAAGAAGCAAAATGTTCTGCAAAATGTTAACAACACTTAAATTTCATAAATTTCGTTACTATAGCTAATGGCGCTTTTAAGTTATCTTATTTACTTACATACATACAGTGATTAAAATCCTTAGTAGAGAAATTTCTCTAGAAATGAGAAGATTTACAAAAAAGTCAACACGATCATATGACAAAAAGTTTCACTGGAGAGAGAAGAATAGCATAAGAAGATACTAACAAAGAACTCTCAAATATCTGTAGAAAATAGGATAATTGACACTGACGTTTTTATAAAAAGTCAAAAATACTGCCACTATCAGAGAACACTGGGAAGAAAGTTCTTGCAAAAATTCTAAAACGGCCACCCTTACAAAGAAGAGTTTGAAGCTTATAGAAAATACTGACTGACGTATTAGTAGTAAGTAAAAGCAGAATAAACGACACAAAGAACATTGACACTGATATTGTTTCAAAACAACATAAACATGTACAGGTGTTCCGATTCGATGTCTCACAATTTAAAAGAGTTAGAAAAAAAGTAGCTTACATGTCGTGTTCTCGTTTTATGAGAAAATGCTAATGCAGAAAACTCGCTATCATTTTTGTTTTCGCGTGATAGGCAAAATGTCTTTATCAATACTTATAAATAACGAGGAATAGAAAACAACAACCCCAGGAAAGATAGAAGAAATCCTTCAATAGCTAAGAAGTAATAAGTCACCGGGCAGCAATAAAATACCAGCGAATCCCTGATTTGGCAGTAACATTAATGTACGAGCAAATATGGAAAAAATACAGAAGAATTGCCCGTGAAGTCATCTGTCCTATCCATAAGAAAGAAACCTGTTGAAGTGTGAAAATTATAGAGGTATTACGTTGATGCCCTATATAGCCTCAACATCAAGAAACAACTGGTGGACCTGATAACAGTAACAATAAGGAACGTCAGATGCGTCAGAAAATACAAAATAACAACTTAGATAATATTTGATAATATAAAAGTAAGTAACTACGTCACAGGGGCGCGCTGCTGTGTTTAATGTTTAAAATATGCCTGGAAAAGACGATTAGGGATGCTAACCTTAATGCGTATCATTTATTTTGGATTCTCTTTGAATCTTACAATCGGCACTGAGAATTTGAAAGTGGTGGACAATAAAGAACGTCAGATAATACAAAATAACAACTTAGATAATATAAAAGTAAGTAACTACGTCATAGGGGCGCGCTGCCGTGCTTAATGTTTAAAATATGCCTAGAAAAGACGATTATGGATGCTAACCTCGATGCGTATCATTTATTTTAGATTCTCTTCGAATCTTACAATCGGCACTGAGAATTTGGAAGTGGTGCAGGAGTTTACGTACTTTGGTTCCACCATGAACTTAAAGAATAAATGTAATAATGTGATAGCCTATAGTGGTTATATACTGTAGGAAGGTATGAACAATTAGTAGCCGAGACGATTTTGAGAGGTAACATGGCGACTATGAATCATAGCAACCATTAGGATGACACTCATTAGAAACTGTATTTAGTAATGGTATTATGATCTGAATATTAAGTTAATATACGGCAAAAGTATGGTTTCAGCTGAGAAAATTTGCGAAGCCATAAACGGAAAGATATAAAGGCTAACAATTGGAACTGCCTCATATAGTAGAAGTGGTTTGAAACTAACTGCGATCAAACAACTCAAAAACTATTATGGCCTGCAAATCAGGAGAAATACGAACATAGAAAAGATAAGAACTGCTACTAGAAGAGCTATGTATTTCTTTCAAATGATACGAATCCATGGCATGAGTTTTGCCCGAAGAATGAAGCTATGTGGTGCTAATATGAATAATGCAGCCTAGTTCAAAAACGAAGATTTTAAGCACGGAAGCTATTAGATGCTAGAGTAGTCTCGATGATTCACTCTGTACTATGGAAATATTGTTAGATTTGCGTAAAGCAGTTACATCAGAAATTAAACTTGAACATTATGGCATAAGAGATCTTCCACTTCAACTTTTTCAAAATTACCTACAAGATCGAACTCAGAAAGCAAAAATAAATTCTAGTTACAGTGCACATGGAAAACTATCATGTGTAGTACGCCAAGGTACAGTTCTTTTGGAAGTAGGATTCAATTGTACAATGATATCATACGTAGACGATACAGTCTTCTTGTTCAGAAACCCAACATAGTTTCAAATTTTTTATCATAGCCAGAGACGATATGAGAGTCTTATTAAATTGGCTTGATACCAATAAACTATTCCTTAACTTTGAGAAAACTAGTTTTATCACTTTCTCCATACACGCTGATTAACAACCTAAAGTCCCTGACGTTCTGATACACAACGACTTCTGTCAGCAAACTGATTATGATTGTCCTAAGATTACTAAAGTTAGTTCTATGAAATATCTCGGTGGATTAATATTTCAGGTGAAATGTGCATATTGGTAATATGTGAAAAAAAACTAAGATCAATAATGTTCTTGATCACAAGAATGTCACTGCATGTGCCTAGCGCTTTCATGAAGACATATTATTTTGCAATGGTTGAGGCAAATTTGAGATACAGCATTATTGCTTGGGGAGCAACTTCAGATATCTACTTAGGAAAGTTACGCAGAATCCAAAGCTTGATTTTAAAAATTATTAAATATGAGATATTGTCTACGTTCAAACTGTAATAAAATATGCGTTACAATACCCGGAAATGCAGCTGTAGACTATCAAGCAGCTATCAAGAGTAGATGAAGCGATGGGTCAAAAATGTTTTATTGCTGAACATCACATTTCTATGAGCTCGAAGGGTACTGCATTCATTGTTAAGACATGGTTGAAAACATGGTTTTTGTAAGGTTTCTTACCCTAAAGTTTCATGCTTATGAGCTACATAAGCTAAATTCCTTCCAGATACGATGTTAGTTCATCTAATTCTATATATTTGCCATAAAATCACACTTCATACGATTCCTTTTATATGTTCATCATTTTGGATCTATTTGTTGTATTTTCAGCCATATTCAATAACTCCTTAACTTTGTCCTCCACTTAGCTCCTTTTCTTCAAAAAATATATTATCGTATCATGTAATAGTCTATAAGTCTTTGGAGAAGGAAATATTCACATAAATCTGTTTGCACAATCTTAACCTAATTTCATCTTGATATTTGATAAACTTCAAAAAAAATGTTGTATCTGCTTTAATTAAGATTAGCGACTTTGAGTTGTTTCATTATTTGGCTAATCTCTATCTTAGTGTCCTTCTTATTAGAATTACTAACCATGAGAAAGATTAAGAAGCGCGAAGCAAACATGAGTTATTCTCAAAAAGCGGCGTTAGTTGCTTTTATGACAGATCACGCTGAATTTCTACAAGGTAAAGTAGCAGGAATAGATAGAAAGGAAGAACGAAATAGATTATGGGAAGAATTAACTGTTTTATTGAATAACATTGAAGGTGCAGTTAAAGATTCTACAAAATGGCAGAAGGTAGGTGAATTATGAGAATCATATTTTTCGCTCACAATTACATTTAGGTTTGGATGAATCTAAAAAATAAAACAAGAAGGAAATCTCTAGAAATAAATGCGTTAACAACAAACTGCGAAGCTGGACCAAATACGGTGTTGAAATTGACAGATATGCAAAGGCAAATACTTCATCTAATGACAAAGGAGTCCGTTGAGGTAGAAATGAATATGAAATTAGAAAATGATATGTCTTTTGAAGAACCAAAAATTATTCCTACATCATGTGTATCGATAGAAAAAATAACAACATGTTTCGAAGATGTTTCTAATGTATCTGAAGATGTATCACTGTTGTCCACATCTACCACAAGTGCGTGTATACAAATCTAAAAACTTTTTAACGTTTATGATTATTACGAGAATTTTGTTGCTTTAGGTAAAAGGGGAAGTACTGAAAAATTGCAAACAATTTTGAATATTAACGTACAGGATATAAATAACACTTTAAAAGAAATATTGGAAGACAAAGAAAATACGAAGCATTCGACTGAAAAAAATGTTGATAAATTCTCAGACTTCAACACCAATGTGACTGATATAGGAAACACTTTAAAAGAAATATTAGAAGAAAAGCGAAAAACAAACGTACTTTTACACGAATTAATTAATGTATTAAAAAAATAAAATGTTTATAACAATTTGACTTTCATATTACCTAAATTTTAATTTTCAAAATAGTTAAAAAAATTCTCACTTAATTTTTTTCTTTTTCAGTAAAAAAATATTTTACCCAGCCACCGAAAGAAACAAACCCCACATCCTCAAAGTTCTTCAAAACCATCTAAACGAAACTCAACCAGGAAATCTCCTAGAAATAGCTTCAGGAACCGGACAACATGTTTCCTATTTTGCCCCACACTTTCCCTCCATACAATTCCAACCATCAGAATACGACGGAAGCTTATTAAAAAGCATCAAAGCTTTCATAGAAGACACCGCAACGAAAAATATACGTCCTCCTTTAGAGATTGATGTCACAACTAAATCGAAAACTTGGAATCTCCCCGTTGAAAAATTCGATTATCTTTTAAATGTCAACATGGTTCATATAAGTCCCTATAAATGTACGGAAGGATTGTTTCAAAATGCCGGGGATGTTTTGAAAGATGATGGTTTGATGATTATGTATGGGCCATATGCGAATAATGGAGTCATTGAACCTCAGTCGAATATCGATTTTGATAGGGGGTTAAGATCGCAAAATCCGGAATGGGGTTTGAGGGATATTGAAGATTTGAAGGTGTTGGCGGATAAAGTTGGGATAAAACTTTTGAAGGTTTATGATTTACCATCGAATAATAAGTGTTTGGTTTGGGTTAAAAAAGATATTGAAAAATAAAAAAATTTTAATAAAATATTGTAATGTATACTTATTTTCTTAAGTATGCTAATTAGTTATAGATTGTACTGTAATAATATGTTATGTAATATTATTTCTTTGAATAAATTGGCAAACTAACAGATTTAATTTCAATTTGCCTTTGGACCGATTTCTGTCGGACTAACTCAATACAGGTGGTCCATTTAACGTGAGACAAGCGATTATCTCGAAAACGCTTCATTTGACATAAAAATGAACCAAATGAAACTTGTTCTGTGCGAAGGGGGAAGCCATAGGACGATAACATTTTTTGACCTTGACCTTATTTGCAAGGTCATATGAAGGTCACGACCAATTTTTTAACGGTACCCCATATATTTTATTGTAAAATCTGAATCTGTGGATAAAAATAAAGTAATTCAAGAAAAAATTTTACTGTGCGGTTTTGCCAGTACAACGTCAAAACATCTGTTGAAAAAAATTGAAACTTCTTCAGAAACAATTAACTAACGTTTATAATCTAGCAAGAACAACAAGAGTTCGCGGAACTGCTTATGTCGGCATTTTCAGAATATCGCTTTCAGAGACTTAATTGGTTGAATTGTTTTAAAATGTAACAAGTAAAACTAAATTTGCATAAAAATTACATTAAGGCAAAATGTTTAAACTAAATCATTAAATCATGGATACTCTAAGTGTGGCAGAAAAAGTCGAAATGACTTTTATTTATAGAGAAAGTGGCAGAAAAGTTTTGTATCGAGAACGTTTTTCTGAGCGAAATACGCCTTCGAGAAGTACCATTTACAGAGTTGTGAATGATTTCACTAACACTGGAAATGTGGAATCAAGAAAAAGAACTCGGCGAGCAACTGTGACTACGGAAGAAAAGGAAATTGCGGTATTAGCTAGCGTTGAGGTAAATCCTCAAGTTAGCACTCGACGACTTGCAATTGACGTCGTAATGTTGAAGGCCAGCATTTTAAGAATATTAAAGCGTAACAAGTATCACCCATACCACATTTCATTGTATCAACAGCTTTATGGAGGTGATTTTGAAAATCGATTAATATTTTGTCAATGGGCACAAGAACAAATACGGTTGGACGTCAATTTCTTTGGTAACGTGCTATTGATGAGTCTACTTTTACAAACAAAGGACAAGTTAGTAGACATAACATGCACTATAAGAGCGTTGAAAATCCGAGATGGTTGCGTGAAGTAGAACATCAACTTCAAACATCATCAAATTGGTCGGTTAATGTTTGGTGTTTGGTAATGGTATACTGAATGGGGGGGAGAAGTACCGAAATGTTTTAGATGTCGTCTTACCAACGTTACTTGTAGATTTGAGCAGGGAAAAAAGACAAAACATGTGGTTATAGACCTAATGGCCTCATAATATGTCGAAACTAGTACCAAGTACATAAACTTAATTAATAAAAAAAAAATTTTAGAGGTCAAGAGGCCTACTTATTATTACTTATTTCATTTCAACATAATATATATTATAGATCTAATATAATGGATCTTTTAAAATTAGCCACATAATGTTCTGCAAACTGTAAATGTAGCTGGAAACTACAACTGCAGACAAAAGTAACAAACTAAAGTGACTATGGACTTCAATCATACCTGCAGATTGCAGAATAAAACTCTCAGTTCCAAAGTTGTTACAAGAAACTATACCTACATACTGCAAAATAAAAAAAAAACTAAGAAAACATGCATAAAAAACTCAAATAACTAAAGACACGTATTTCATTAATGCTACATAAAATCATCGAAAATTCAGTAGTCGGCTGTGAAATTGTACGTCACACTTGACAAATAGGTTATAAAACCTTGTCGTCAAATAACTTTATAACCTATTTGTCAAATTTGACGTACAATTTCATAGCCGACTACAGAATTTTCGGTTATTTTAAGTAATATTACGAAATACGTGACATTAGTTATTTAAGTTTTTTATGAAAACGACGACGTTTTTTAAAAAATAATAAGAGTAAGAAAAGTTTTAGAATTAAATTCCACATGAAATGAAGTAGTAATGTATTAAATCCGCCGAAAGGTTAAAAAAAATTTAGGGTACCATCACCCATAATCAATCCTTTGAAATGCCTCAATTGAGTTCAATTTGCTACCAATTAATACCCTTGGTACATTCATAACGTATACCAAATTTGGTTTTTCTAGCTTAATGTATTACGAAGATATTGAACATTTTAAAAATTTAAGAACCAACTTTGAACGCCTATAACTCCTCAGGTGTACAGCTTAGTATAGAAATAAGTTACGTTAAATCATCTTAATTTATTGTCCTCTACATGTTCCTGCTCCGTGTTGGTTCTTACGCGAATCACCCTGTATATTATATTCTTTCTATTATAGATAGTAATTTTTCATTTTTATTTAGTTAATAAACGACTCTGAATGCCACCCTAACCACCTATTTGCAGTCACAAAAACAACTGCAAACAAGTTTACGAATGCAATTCATATGTATATATACTGGTAATGGCTAGGTCCCAATGTTGCGTTATCGCAACGTTCAACTTCAAAGTCGCTTGGAAACTAGATTTTGTAAAAATAGTTAGCTATTCCTTCACATTTTTGTTCTGTGTAGTATGCTGTATATGAAAAACATTCAGAATTAAAAAAAAATTATAATAAGAGTCCCTTTTTACAATGTTTTTAAATTCATATTACCATGCTAAAAATTTCACCATTTTTGTTAATTTATATTTACGCTTAAAAGTTGAATTATCTATGATAAAAAAATGCATAGGTGTGCTCAAATCCTTCTTAAAGGAATAGTGTTTTTCTGATCAAAAATCAATGCGTTTAAATATTTAAAAAAAATCATGTTCCGAACGTGGCGTTAACGCAACTATGGTCCTAAATGGGTTACACAAATGTTGTAGTCTCCCATTATAAATATATTTTTAACGTTTTGGATTTCTTTTACGAAATGTAAGACCTCTTCCATTTTTTCCAAAAACAATTCATTCACCGTCTGGTGAGTGATATACTGCTATAAACATAGAATTTGATTGTGGGATTTTTACTGAGCTCAGTTCAATATTTTTTTCTATGTTATATTTTTCTAAACCAATTGAATTTGATTTGTATTTTTCATTTATTAGTACACTTTCTCTTGAAAAGACTTTTCTATTTATAAGATGCAATTATTTAATTTTCAATATTTAAAGTTTTTATCTCATCTTCTGTCATCCAGTGGTCTGTAATAGCAATTATGTTCGACTCTGATTTTTTTTAAATAGATATTGTAGTTTGTTTATTTTATTTTTTAATTCATGTGCGTTAATATTTATTATTTCTACTTTTTTCTTGATCTTATTACTGTTTTGATAGTCTTTATTTAAATTTAACTTATTTAATGAATCAACTACAGTGCCTCGCAAAAGTATTCGAAAGTCAGTTTATGGGACCGGAGAGTAACAACAACTTCCTTAAGTTTTCATTTAAAACAAAAACTTAATCAATATTATTTCATAGTGGTATAAACTTTTATTGAAACGTAAAAACTAAACTTTTTCTCAACATAAATACAAAAAAAACAGCAGTTTAACTAAATAATGAGGTTGAATTACGTCACAAAAGTATTCGTAAAAAAATAAACTAGTTCAGTAAAACTTTTTTCTTTAATTAATTAATATCGAGTAGCATACCTTTCATTTCAATAACTTCTCTTAATCTGTTCTGCATCGAAAACACTAGTTTTCGTGTTCTCTCGGATGATATTTTTTCCCATTCTTTGACTATTGTTGTTTTAAGTCTATCTTTTGATGTAATTCCATGTTTTCGGATGACACGCTCCAAATCTGCCCACAAGTGCTCAATCGGATTAAGGTCCGGGGACTGAGGCGGTGTTCCTAAAACACTGGGGTGTTGTACGAAATCCAAAGTTTTGTATTGTGGGCTGTATGTTTCGGGTCGTTGTCTTGTTGAAAGATGTAACGACTCGAAAGTCCGAGTTTATTGGCGCTAGCGTTCAAATTGTCTTTTAATATTTGGATGTAGAGCCGGTGATCCATTTTATCAGTAATGAATTGCATGTTTCCGACGCCATTTGCACTCATACAGTCCCACAACATTACATTACCACCCCCATGCACCCATTTATGGTGCATTTCGGTATTCACTTTTCGCCAAACTTTATTACCACAATCTGGCCCAAAAATATTAAATTTGGTTTCATCGCTAAAGATTACTTTTGACTAAAACTCGGTGCCATGGTTTACGTATTTTCTTGCGAACTCCAAACGCTTCCTCCGATTTTTCTCACTTATAAGCGGCTTTATACGTGGAGTACGCCCATTGTAACCAGCAGCTCTAAGAGTTCGTCGCACAGTTTCATCACTGACATGGATTCCACTATACTCGGCGAGACTTCGATTAATTTCTGGCGCAGAAGTACGTGGCTGTTCCTTAATTTTTCTGATAATAACAGCTTTATCACGAGCCTTAAGTTTTGCAGGCCTTCCCGATCGCTGTCCCAACTAAAGCGAGTTGACACGCTTCTATTTGTTGCGTTTGATATCTCTTGCAACGTTTTACCTTCCCTTCGCAGATTGAATATTATTTTTCTTTCCTCAAACGTGGTCTCTTTTGATTTTCTTCCCATTTTTTACACCACTCTCCGTATTTAATTAAATCAAAAATGATTCACCAAAACTTCACATTCAGATTGAATAGGTAACCTACAGCAATGCGTGTTTGTCTGCTAATGTAGTGTAATGTAGTAGAATTTTAGAAAAAAACCGACATAGCCTACTGTTTTAAATTCCCGAATACTTTTGTGACTATATTCATAACAGTTTAATGTATAAGTTAGGTTAATATCATATTTTTGTTCTGTCTAAGATATGAGACTTTAGTTGTAATAAAAGAATGCTTTTAATCTCAAAATTTTGCATTTTTTGGGTGAAAGCAATACTTTTCGAATACTTTTCTGAGGCACGGTATGTAGGTAGCTTACTTTTTCCTGTAAATCATCAATATGTCGTTCTGCTGCCATTTGTTTGCATTTTGGTTTTTATGTTTTTACCTTGTAGATAATTTTTAATTTCTGTTTCTGTGGTATTGGGTTGTGGGCCACATATATATCAATGTGCATATTGCACACTTCCCTTTAGTGTAGTATTCATTGCTGTACCCTTTAGTGTTCAAAACGATTTACGCCTTTTATATGAAACAGTAGTGATATAGTTTCTTCCTACTTTGTCAATGAGTCATCTCTTATAGGTTTGAAGTCTAGGACATTAGGTTTAGCTACATTGCCCACTACAAAAGCTACTCCTAGTTCATGTTTATTTCTATTGTTGTGTCCATTTGGTTTCCTGGATTGCCAACAGTACATTATTTGAATGAAATATAACCAAGATATAAAAAAAAGATATTTAAATTTCTGCTGATCTTTTTTATTATCATTTTAGGTAGATTCACATTTCACAGTTTGATCGATTGTATCATGAAAAAACAGTTTTTTTTTTTAAGTATAATCGTCAACTGATTCAACAAGTAAGTATACTTGACTAATATCGGAAAAACATTTTTTTTTCTTACAACAATAACAATCGTTGGTGTTTCATCATATTTTCTTTTATACTTTCGCACACCAGACAAGATCGGGGCATCGTATCGAAAACAAAATAGTTACATTATTTAATATATTATGTATTATAAACTGGCGCGTTCGGGCGTTTTTTTTTTTCCTTCGCTTTTACAAAATGAAAACAATATAAAAATAATATGTACTTTTCTCTAATAATAATAATAATGAGCAACAACGGTAAACAAAGTTACATACATAAATAATATTAATAACAAAGATTTGAGAGATTAGGGGAGTAATTTTAAGAGTACTGATGAAAACGAAAATTATCGGATATTGCACACAGAAACGCGCGATTGCAAAAATTAAAAATGATTTTGAGCGCAAATTTGCTTTCTTTCGAAGTACAAATTCATCAACGCGAAACATTTTATTTTAAATTAGTTTTTTTTTTCATCAAAAAGGTACCTAGTCGTTTAATTTTCGTTTTTTTTTATTCTTTTACAATATTGACAGTAACTCTAGAGTTTATAGGACTATATCACTGATATATTGCCTTTTATTTTTTTATATTCTATATATTCTATTTCCATTTACTTTCTTTAAACTTAGTTCAATTTTTTTTCTTTTTTTTTGGGGAAATCGATCAGATTGAACTTAGACATTATCACATATGAATAATACTAAAGATCATCTGATCGAAAATAACTAGAAATAGAATCGTCTCAACGAAGATATTATTACTTTGTTCGTAAAACTATTTAAATAGAATCATGGTATTTGCACAAAGAATTAGTGAACTTTTCTTTTAAGTAAATAAATGATCGTTTTTTATTAGCTTTTTTAATTATTTATTATAAAAGTCAAGTTCACTTTCCATGTCAAAAAAAAACCATAGATTTCTAGCAAATATAGTCGTTAATTTAAATACAATATAAATTAAATCTTTATTAGCTAGTTTTCTTTTTTGTTTAAAAGTTTGGTAACGGTCCTACCAAAATGTGTATCCACCGTCGGCCGAACCTAAGAACGAACCCTTTTTTTGTCCCAACGCGACCGTGTGACCAGCCATGGCAGCCAATTGAGCCCCGTTGGGTTGAACTCCCGGTGGGGCTGGAGGCAAAACCGGCTGAGCAAGTCCATCAAATCTAGCTCCCGAATCAAATCCATTCTTTAAAAAAATAATTATTAAATTCATTTTTATTTCATTTTAATTATTCCTTACTGGAATCATTATAGTTGGTCTAATTTGCGTTGGTTGCATTGCATAGGAATAAGCTCCTAAAGTTGGATAAAATTGCATTGGAGCGTAAGTCGGGTAACCTATGTATGATGGATATCCGGTTGCATACATAGAAGCACTTGGAGGATAAATCTAAAAAAAAATGACACATTATTAGTGATATATGGCGTGTTGAACATCATATAAAAAGATACGACGTTTGATGGCGATATTTATGTTAACATAATCTTTAATGATTTTCCCAGACATCTAAAACAAGACTAGTTAAAGGGAACATCACGAATTGTGGAAAAAGGACAGTAACTCGTCCTCAGAACTTCTATCATAACCAGAACCCGAAAAGTTTAAGAAACGTGTGCCCCTCAATATGAAGCGAATGCCTCCCATCGCAAGCTTCGATTTACGTAATTAAAAATGTATGCTGGAGTGGGGGGTGTTTGAGAATCACTTTTCTAAACTGTTCAGGCCCTGATAATTGTTATGATTCATAACAATTCCAATCAGGCAGCAAAACAAGTACACCACAAAACTCAGGTGCGATGATAATGTCAAGTAAGTTCAAAGTCAACATCTGTACTTGCAGTGTTGATGGATTGTAGGCAGTTGTAGTATGCACCTGATGATGCTAGCTAAGTTCAGAGACAACAATTAAAGGCGTATAACTTTTTAAGTTTGGCACCAACTTAAAAGGTAGCTTGAATATCTTCAATAGAATTAAGAAACGGGCTTTAACCTAGCGAGTTCATTCTTGGAATACCAACTTTCTGAAGGTACTGTGTTACAATCATTGCCGTGCATTAACAGAAAACAAATTCTAGTAGCCGCTCAGCTATATATCGTCGTGCTGGTATTGCACCTCTGTTAATCAGAATATGATCCATGTCCCGCATCAAAAGAAATTCCTGTCGAAAGCATTACTGAGCTACTCCCAACGATTTGAGATGGTCGAGTTACAGGCAGCGTCTTCTGTCATCTTTGCCATAAAGGCGAGTTCTGCAATCATGCCGTGAACAATAAGCTTTTCGCGTCATCCAATTAATGTGTTCTCGGGCGGAAGCAAGTCTACGTCACGTGTGAGCTGCAGTAAGCAAAGGACTTGTGGTTAGACTACAAGCTGTTAAACCATTTTCCCTTAACCTTAGGCGAACAATAGAAACGCTAACTGCTGTTTCTTAAATCTATATAGTACGCTACAGAAGCATTCTAGCGGGTTCGATCTCTCTAACTGTTATTTTTCTTTTAGCCCCGTTGTAAGAGTTAGTTGCAAGAAACGGTTGGTGTGTTTTTTGCACACTCAAACGACTAACATTTAATTGTCCTCTTCCACATCCCGTTAACTTACTCTATTTTCCAGCAATGTACAACAATAATATCTGCAACTAGCAGCGCTCTTCGATACTTTTCGTCCATTATTCCGGAAAACACGGTACTCTATAAAGCTTATCTAGTACTAAGATAAGTTTGAAACTTACTCATCTACACATAACTCATAAAAATATCGCTTCCAAGGAACGTGTTTCACAATTTTATATATTCCATGAATTTGTCCTCAACAGTAACTCGCAAAAAGATAGAAAAAGAAATAGACAGTATCAGAAACATGAGAATGAGATTCTGATGTAAAATGATTTCGAAGCAAAAAATCCTCTTTTTAAAGAAAGTTATCAATCTCAAAACTGAATACATACATCTTTTCCCCAACTTATGTGCAAGGAATGTTTCCAATATTCTTAATTAGATCTTGACAAAACAGAAGCAAAACATGTTAACCCAAATGATGTCTAAGGTTATGAAGTGTGTACAGTATACATTTTTCATAAAACTAGATATATCTGGGAGGAAGGAGTATCAAAATGAGAATCACAAAAAAAACACTCGAATTGATAGTTTCGGCATAAAAAGTCATAATGCTTCCTAGCAGAGATGTTTAATAAAATAATCTAAGCGTATTATTGCTTTTAATGAAAGTTTTGTTCCTGTGAGAAAAGGAAAAACCGTCGGACCTTTAAAAGATTTATGGCACAAAAGAATCTCAGGGTGAAAAAAGAAAATATTGTGTCAAGCTTCTATTGTTTCTTTCCAAAGAACAGGGACAAAAAATCGATAACCGAAAATTGCCGCATTTTCAGCTGTTCTTGATCATAGTTAACGCCGATGAAGTGAACCTAAGAAACGTGACCATCAAATACTTCGAGCGTGAAAACTCTTTTATACCAGCTGGCCACTACTTTCACCATCAAGTTTACAGTCTACTGTCTGACATCGAAATATGTGATATCAAAGCAATAAGTTCAAGGTCCTGCAATTTTACGAGTTGTAGACTCAATGTTATACTACTTTTCTTCCAACATCCGAGTCAATTTTTTCTTCGAAGGCAGTTCATAATCGGTATTTAATATTTTAGTGTATTTACCCTTGTTTCCCTTATACCACAAATCAAAACATTCGTAATTAAACATTTCCTCCCACATTTAATTCACGACTAATCTAACAATCTTACACAACCTAACTTCTTCTTATTGCGTTTTTGGCTCGCTATCAGATTGATGTAGCTTGGATCACGGAAACACACCTAGCTCCAAGTGAGACTTTCCGAATTGCAGGATATAATGTATATAGAGCAGACAGGCCTTCCGTCACAGCTGCCGGAGGAGTGGCGATTATAATTAAAAGACAAATTCAACACCATCAATTTAGCTGTACCAACGCTATTGAAGTAACGGCAATAGTAATTCAAACAAACAACTCAACTCCAGTTAATATCATATGTGGATACAAACAACCTAACAAAAAATACTAGAAACTGACAAGTTCAATGTTGAGTAGCTCTATACCTACACTACTTATAGGAGATCTTAACAGCAAGAATAAACTCTGGGAATGCAGAGCAGACAATCCATCGGGACTGAATCTGGAATTATTAGCAACCAAGTACGGTTTTCAAGTGTACTGCCCAATCGATTGTACCTACTTTCCATATAGAAGCGACTATCAACCGGATATTTTAGATATAGTAATAATCAAAAATTTTACCATCCAGTTAAATCTGTGTGTAATCAGCGAGTTAAACTCGGACTATTTGCCAGTAATCATCACCCTTGCAAAGCAACCTGAATACAGACCTAAAATTCCTAAGCTGATCAATGGATTCATCAACTGGGCAGAGTTTGGAGACTCACTGAATAATCAAGAATTTAACTTACCAACATCAGCTACTCCGAATGAGTTAGACGCAAAAATCCGCTCGCTGTCTTTAAAGATTAAGGAAGCAATTGTCTCTTCAACGAAACCCTTCAAAAGAAAACCTATAAGCAATTACAACGTTCCCCCTAAAAGCATCTTAGACCTAATCAAGGAAAAACGGAGGGTTCGCCAAGAATGGCAACAGACGCGTAACCCTACAATTACTAACTCATACAATTTCTCAGGAACTAGATGCCTATGCAATCAACAATTATAAAAAACTCATCGAAAGTTTTGAAGCAAGTGATCCGGGCTTGTGGAAGACCACTAGGAAAATAACGCGGACATACGAAGACAAAGCCAATAATGTCAATATCAATAATGAGAATATTCGTCACATTACCACAATCCAACAATATAATGAATCTCATCTACTAACTTCAGCAACTACCGAGACCGACAGAATCTCAGTAGAAGAACTAAAGGTAGAAATAGCAAACCTCAACATTAAAAAAGCTTCAGGCCTAGATCAGATACCTAATATAGTCATAAAACACCTTCCGGAGAAACTACTGAGTCACATCACAGAAATTTTTAATCGCTGTCTGAAAATTGGCTACTTCCCGGTAGCATGGAAAAAAGCGCAAATCCTAATGTTCGGAAAGCCAGACAAAATCAATATGAACCCAGCCAATTATCGTCCAATCAGTCTCCTCTCATGCTTATCTAAGCTATTCGAACGAGTCATCCTCAAAATAATCCCAAACATCCAGTACGGATTTAGAGAGGAATACACCACGGTTCACCAACTGGCAAGAGTAGCAGAATATATCGAGGAAGGGTTCGAGGCCAAAAAGTTTACAGCTGTTGTTAGCAAGGGCCTTTGATACCGTCTGGATTGAAGGCTTAAAATACAAGCTCAATCAAACGGGGTTAAGCAACTATTTACTCGCCATTCTATTCTTCCTGGAGGAGAGAACTTTCTCCGTCACTATCAATACTTGGATACTCCTCCAGCACTCGAAGAATATTTGCAGGCGTCCCACAAGGTAGTAGCTTATCCCCTGCTCTGTTCAACATCTTTATGCATGATATCCCGACCGACGTAAACTTCGAAATGGCCATGTTTGCGGATGACATGTTAATAATGGAACAAAACGACATCCTTACTGATGCTATTGAGACACTTCAAAGGTCAGTGGACAAAATCCAGAAATGGTTATCAAAATGGGCCATTCTGCTCAATGCCAGACCAAGATCTTTTCGCTAAGACCTTATCGAAATGCTCCTTACATTATTATAAATGATCAAAAAATACAGTGGAAAGCAAAAGATGAAGCCATTAAATACCTGGGAGTTCTCCTTAATCACCGCCTCACTACGAACTTAAATATAATAATAATAATAGATGCCTTTATTAGAAAATAAGCTTAATTGTACAAAAAAAAAAACATACAAAAGAAAATAGGCGAGTTCCAGCTTGTACTAGTTAGTACAGCTGCTCTAACTAACCTAAGAAACAAAAAAAGAAAAACATGACTCGGCCAAAAATTACAAAGCAACAGCTAGATACAACAACAAGATTGCAAAACATGTCAGATCAGCGTTTGCCCCCATGTAGACATTGTTCAAGAAAACAAGAATTTTTCTGTGTAAATTTAAACCTTCCTAGTGAGAACCCCTTGCAATTATCATCCACCTCATTATATTTCGAAGTTATTTGAAATATGTATGACCTCTGAAATAAAGACAAACGATAGAAGGGTGGCGACAGTCTTCCGCGAAATCGCGTATTTATTCGGTGGACATGATTTCGGAAAGTTATCAGTTGGTAGAGATACTGTGGTTCCTTGTAGTTTATAATTTTATGGTATAGGCACAAACACTGCACTTTCCTACGATGATACAAATTTAGCCATCCCGCATCCTTCAGTTTATAAGATATTCTGTTATATTTTCTAATTCCATATATATACCGAAGACACGAATTTTGCACTCGTTGAATACGTGTTACATCGCTAACCTCAATGCACGGATGGTAGACCTCAGCACAATAAGTGAATTGAACCAAAACAGAGGCTTCGCACAACACCTTTTTCAGATGAATACCAAGGTAGTGTCGATGAGGAAACAACATCCTCAGATGATAATAAGCCCTGGATATACAGTTGGAGACATGCTTCTTATAGCGAAAACTGTTGTCCATAATCATACCCAAATTCTTTACCTCACTAACCAAAGGAATGTTACAACCATCAATTTGCAAATCAATACTTTCCCGAAAACCATTACATATAGCGGAATTTCCAAAAAGTATAGCATTGGATTTACTCGGATTAAGATGTAGACCGTATTCCCGAGCCACTTTATGAAAGTAATCAAGGTCTTTTTTGCATATTCGTAATACCCAACGCGAAAGTCGCGTGGATCAAAGGAAACATACATCTGCAAGTCATCCGCATACATATGGTACTCACAATGATTTAACTCCCTACCGATTTGAGATGTATATAAAGAAAATAGAATAGGCCCTAAAATAGTACCTTGTGGTACACCCTTGTTCAAACAGCGAAATTCAGACAAAGCATCACCGATTCAGATCAACCAAGGATATGCCAGGCTTCGCCAATTGTACTCTCTGATCAACAGAAAATCACCACTGCGAACTGAGTGCACTCTACTTCTTTACAAAGCCCTCATCAGGCCACTAGTAACTTACGCCTGCCCAGTTTGGAAAAATTCAAACCCTACAAAATAAACTTCTGCGGATCTCGGTAAACGCGCCGTGATTTGTAAAAAACGAGGAGCTCCATGAAAACTTAAATGTACCAACTATCAAAAACTGTAAAAACTAACTAAATAGTTTTTTAACAATACAGTAAGTGCTCTACCAACAAATCCACACGCGTTTAAAGAGGAAACTTCCCCAAGACTTAATAGCATCCGATTCGGACTAGCATTTCTCAGCGCGTATGTTACATATTCTGTAATCCATAGTATTTATATGCCACGAAAAACATTGTCATTGTTGAACTGGTTTTGAAATAAATAAAAAAAAAAACGACCGTTTTTTGTCAAAATGTTTTCCCTGTCTCCCATTATTTTGTTAAACCGGATCTTTATATGAGGTCTTGAAAAGTCGCGTTTTTTGGATTAAAAACATATACTGTAGGAAAAATTACAAAACCTTCTAATGGCAGTAAAAAACTTAACCTTTAATAAGTGTTTCCAAAACGACAACTGACCTTTAAAAGCAAGACCGCCTTTTCTTAATTATTGAAAACAAAATCGATATCGGACATTTATTTATGGGTGGAGGGAGTAATAATTTTAGCTTGCAAAGATTCTGTCTCATTTTACAGGTAACACGGAATCGTATGTCAGGGATTCTACACATTTTGTGGAATCGGTAAAAGGTGTAAAGCTGGATGCTGGTGATATGTTGGTAAGTTTCGATGTGGAATCCCTTTTTACTAGGGTACCAGTTAAGGATGCTGTAGAGAGTCTTCGCCGAAAACTTATTCCGGAGGGTTTACCAGGATACGTGCCAGATCTGGTGGAGTACTGCTTATCGTCGACGTATTTCAGCTGGAAAGGAGAATTTTACGAGCAGTTCGAAGGGGCAGCCATGGGATCTCCACTATAGCCAGTTATAGCTAATTTCTACATGGAATTATTCGAAGAGGACGCTTTGAAGAAGAGCCAATGGAAACCAAAACTATGGCTCCGATATGTGGATGACACGTTTGTGATATGGCAACATGGTCAAAAACGGCTCCAAGAGTTCTTGGATCACTTGAACTCTCAACATCCTATGATTAAGTTCACCATGGAAACGGAAACTGCCAAAAAACTACCTTTCCTAGATGTGTTGGTCACCAGGACGACAAATGAAGATATAGAACTTGGTGTATACCGAAAGAAGACCCATACCAACAGGTATTTACAGGCATGTTCACATCATCATCCCCAACAGAAGAGGTCCGTGATCAGTACATTATTTCAACGAGCAGCGAGACTATGTGAATGAGAGAACTTGAAGAAGGAGCAACACTTTCTACGAGGCGTGCTGCAGAAGAATGGATACACTTCGAGGGACATCAACCAGGCCATCAAGCAGCGAAAGCAGAAAGAGGACACGGTAAGTACAAAACCACTTGGATTTATCTGTCTTCCCTATGTTTCAGGTGTAACGGAACGAATTGCTAGGCACCTCAAGAAGAACGACATCGTAGTGCGGTACGGCACGGTCAGCAAAATTCGGAACACACTCCCGATAGCCAAGGACAAACTAACTCCATTAAAAGGAGCGGGAGTCTATCGACTATCGTGTAGTTGTGGGAAGGTTTATGTTGGCCAAACTGGACGCAACGTCGAGTGCCGCATCAAGGAGCACGAGAGGGATGTAAGTCTGAAGAAGATCCAGCAGTCGGCGGTTGCGGAACATTGCCATGCAGAGGGGCACCGAATAGACTTCGAACAAACAAAGGTGCTGGCTAGGGACAACAGATACTACCAAAGACTGACAAGAGAAGCCATAGAGATCCACCGACATAAAAATAACGTCAACAGAGAGGATAGCTGGGAGCTTAGCAGAACATGGAAGATGGTGGTGAACACGAAGACCTCTTCCCTCCTCACACCGGACGCGACGCAATTAGTTATTAATTAGCTTGTAATTAGCGTTAACTGATTATTAATTAGTTTTTCCGACATATATATAGTCACCGATTTTTGATCTTGTCACTTCGAACCAGTTTGTGAAGAAGGTTGCAACATGGCATCCGAAACGTCAAACCTTTTATTAAAAGACGCACGGCAAAAACCCGAAAGTTTCTAGTTTTAGTTCTAATTTTAGCTTGTACACACAAGTGAAGAAAAGATTCTATCTTTCAAAGTCTAGTGCTGAAGCCTATTTAACTCTGTAGATGTTGATATACAAACTGAGAGTATGGGAATGGTGGAATTTGTGATGTTTTTGAACACTGATTTATTTATAATTTCGTTAACTACTCTTCCAATGGTGTTACGCCGAATAAATTGCTTTCTTTAACGCTCTTTCGTTATTCATTTTCGTTGCAATTCTTTTGAGATGGTATCAAATTAATATTATTATTAACGTTCTAACTTAATTTAACAGAACGCTAATGAACTACTTCAATTCGTTTAACTTAATAACCCAAACTAATTACAAAAATATTGATATTTTTTCAAATCAAAATGTTAAAATGGTTCTTTCAATATAATAGTCAACCATTCAATAAAGCCATTTTATTGAATACTTACGGGTTGTCCTACAATAGCTGGATGAGTTAGAGCTTGATCATATGTCGGAGGAGGCCCTTGAGGATAGATTTGAGCTTGCCCAGGTATCATATATGGGGCAGCACCATGAATTCCAGGTACAACTGTATAACAAAAATAGGCATTTTTGTGTTTATACTCTCACCTACAATAACACAATATTAAACACAGAAACAATTGTACCAAATCAGATAAATTAATGCAAAAACAATAAAATAAAAACAATATTTACGGAAGGCGAAAGTTATTTACCGCCATAAGGTGGTTGAGGAGCTTGAACTTGGGGGTTACCCTGCGGTGGTGGAGCTGAACTGTATCCTTGAGAAGCGGGACCAGTAACTCCTAAAACAAGCATGATTGAAAATTTACTTTTACATGAAACTCTCAAAGTTAAAGCGTGATCGTTTCTGTTTTATTCTTTTTTTTTTTTAGAAAAATCAATACATAAAATGAATTAAAATTAGACAAAAGGGGTGAAAATCTAGGGTTCATTAGCTACATATAAAGTTTATTTCTGTACATAAATATCTAATAAATTGTGACATAAAGGAAAAAACGGTTAATATTTTTTAATTAAAAACGAAAAAATAAGAAGAAAGTTATTAAAGTACATAATTAACAAACATTTAACGCTTTATTAATTCGATTGGAAAAAATAAATCAAATATTTGTCGCCAAATGAAATAATTTGGCGATAATATTATTCATTTTAGTATTTTTTTTTAGAATCAAAATGTACATATTTTTTAGTAACAACACTCTTAATTCTATTTGGTCCGTTTTTTTGTGGTTTTAAGATTATACATGGTAAATTTAATATTATTGTTATTAGAAACATGCATTTCGATTTATTTTGTAAAGTCTAAAACAAGAAAGTTTTAATAACAATTTATTTTTGTTCTAAAATAAAGAATCTGAATGAGACTTTATAAAATAAATCAGAAACATGCAAAAATAATCGAAAATAAAAAAGGATTTAATATAAATTCAAACTTTAACGTTTGGATTTATATAAACCTACAAACATGCTTAAGATAAACAAATAAGGTGATTCAAACTTTATTAGTGTGCGAAATGAAAATTCCATATTTATTTTAACAAAATAAATACACTTTCTAATGAAGCAATGAAATTTTCTTTTTGCACATAACTTTCGTCTTACCCTGTTAATTCATTTAAAAATCGCGGAGAAAATTAAATAGAGAATACATGCTTCGTGTAAAATGCACTATGTATAAATTACTTTAAAGGATAAAATATTTTATTTAATCTCCAATCAAATATGTTTTAGATTTATCCAATAACGCAATTTTGTTTGATCAAAAAACACATTTTAATATGTGAAAACATGAATTAATGATAAACGATTATTTATATAGCCTGTTATAATATGATATGTACAAATAAGAAAAAAATGTGATCAAATATAAAATATGGGGTTTATTTGAAATAAAAAAATCAAAATTAAAAATAAAATATTAATCATGCTTCCATCTAAATCCAACCTATAAAAAACATGCATTCTTTGTTCGTAATTGTGATTATATTTATCAAACTCTCATTTCTTGTTTTTCATCTTATCAAAACAATAATAATGATTCTCCACAATTTCGAACATGATCGTTATCATTAATAAAATACAAATTGTATTTATTCTTTTCTCACTTATTCTATAGTTATTAATAACCATATTAATTGTAAAAACCAATTATTTTTTTTAAATTTTCTTTCACATATCCCATTTTTGTTTTATTTATTGCAAACTTTTTTTGCCCAGCACTATTTGTTTTTTATTTAAAACTTAACATTCAATTTTAAATAAATAATTTTATTTGTTTAACAATTAATTCAGTGCTGAGCAAAATTCCAGTACAGTTTCAGCGACGTTGATGTGCTTCAGCAGCAACACTGCACCAAAACATATTTTTTTGGGTGAATCCAGTACACCCACACACAATGAGAAAATACGTAACCTTAAAAAACATTTTAATTTATAATAATAACAATTATTCAAGTTCTTTTAATATTTATATCATACAATTAAATAATGTATAAAACATAAAAAAAACAGTTGATTTGAAATCCATAGAGATTAATCCAAAAATTATTATTATCAATTATCCACAAGAAATCATCGTTAATTGAAATTATTCTGAAGCGAATTTATTGTGCCTAACAATGACCCGTATAGAATGGTGAAACCGGTAAGGTAAGAAAAAAATTGCTATCACGAAAAATACAACTTGTTTTATGCTTAAAACCAAATATAGATAAAAGTGGAACCTAATAAACTTATTTATTAAATTATTATCTCGTCTGATGTGTACTGTTGTAAATGTTTTATATAAAAGCATTAAGTAATATTGAAGAAATAAGAACCAACAGTAAAGGAAAGAAAAGAGAAATTAGTTTTCGAGGAAAAGAACGAAAAACAGAAAGGCAAAACAAGTTCAGGAAAAGCAGCTGACTTCATTCAAGATGATTTCAAAAAGGAAATTATGGGTGCGTTAATTATTTTACCTATCAGAAAATTTTAAAAAAATTATGAGAGTGCCAAAAATCGACATTTCTACTGCAAGGCTCTTTAACATAATTTCAACAACTATATTTTGTGAAACTCACGATGGCAGTTAAATCGTAGCTCTTGGTTGGAAAAAATCTCAATCAAGAAGTTTTATGGACTTATTTCCAATAATAGCGGAGACAATCATTAATTTTTTAACTTTTCCGCCAACGACTTGTTGTATTGACAGAAATTTTTGCACATTTAAGAGGGTGAAGACGTGGTCCAAGTCTTAAATGACTGACTATCGACTGAGTGGACTATATACATATGATTAATTTAGCAATGATATTTTAGATATTTTCGCATAAACTCCAAGGAAATTATATTTTTGCTTATTCTGCCATCAATTTTCTATTTCCTTTTCTAAATTTCATTATTGTCGCCTTGATTCTTTCGGATTCCAACTCCCAAGGGTGAATCTCCAGGATCTCTGTGCGAAGACGATATATTGCCAATAGGGAAGTTCCCTCCATCCATAAGCAAGTATTTGTAGTACGTCTGCAACAATCACATAAGATATGATTCAGAACTGGAAGAAGAAGACACTCCACATGATATTTTCTCGACCCGAGAAGAGAAGGGTTTCCAAAATATGTTGCCCAAAAGAAATCTTGCAAGACAAAAAAAATGTTCGGCATCTTTTTCGCATTAACATCGAGCAGTTTAATTTTGATTGAGAATGAACTGACAAATCTAACAAACCCATAAGGGAAGCTCGGATTTTCAATTTGTACATTTGAAGTTAATTTTTTTAAACGTGGAATTAAAATAAATGGGTTCGGTATTAGTTTTGACAATAGTTGGATTCCATAGAGAGAGTTAATTTGACACAGTAGATGATGGTCGCTGCAGTTACATTAATTCCAACTCATCAGCTATCTTAACGTGAAGTAATCTTAAAGTGAAAACTGCTTAACCGATATCACTATACTTTTAAAGAAAGCGTCGATGAAATGTTCTATTATGCGTTTTGACAGCATTGAACAGCCGCGTATGGTAGCACTGTTACGTGCAATAATGTTAAAAATATTGTCTGCAGTTTTTTGTCGCTTTAGCCAATTTAATTGAGACGTACTTGCTGGTTGTTCTTCTGGTGACGAGTTAACCTCCAATGCGGTTTCTTCTTGATTTTAGGCATATTCCCATTATTAATGTACCTCAAAATAACAACAATTCAGCAAATCGAAATGAAAAGAAAGTACACATAGAGGGCATCAAAAGGGGTTGAGTCAATGTATCTGCAAACACACGTATAGAAATTAACATTGAAGAAGAAAAACCACGGTTTGTAATGGCGGTAAATTGTGCTCAAATATTTATTTGCAGAGTATGGGCATAATACAAAGTCCTCAGATACTCAACAATCAGTACAAAAAGTAGTTTTATACAAAAACATATTGAGGTGAATTTAACCAGACGAAGAAGACCAGCCGATAACAGCTGGACAAGAAAATCGTTTTCCTTAACTTTTTTGATTTCGGATATTAAGGAAAAACTACACAGCATGTCTGCCGTCCAACATTTCTTAAAGTTCTGGGTATTACTAAACACAGTGTAGAAGGAGTGGCACGATATTACTTCCTTGAGGATAAGATTCCACAAGAAAAGAGGGGCGATAGAAAGACTGCTAAGTCTACTTCAAAATGCGCTGCTATAAAAACATCTATTAAGCAAATGAACAAATAATCAAATGTACAGAATCCCATTACTGCAGGGAACGAAGTCGAAGGCACTATCTCAGTAGTGATCTCTCCATTTCAAAAAGTGGAGAGTGTACGAAAAGCAGGCTCAAGATCTCGTCCTTAGTGTTCAAAATGTCTTGAATTAGAAGAAAAAATTAGAGAAAGAAACCAACAAAGCTAAAAAGACTACATTTTTAACGGAAAAAAAGGTGCATTGCTTCGTACGAAGGCTTTTTTAAGCCGGATTATTCACAAAAAGACGGATTATTCACTACAAGCTTTGACTGCCAAAAACATTTCGCTATTCCAAGACTTCCTGAGCAGGCGACATACTACAGCCGGCAGTTTTATTTATATAACTTTTCAATTGTCCAAGATAGTTCCAAGTATCCTTTAAAAGGGAACACTTTTGTACACACCTGGGGAGAACATGAGTTACCAAAAGAATCTAATGAAATAGCGTCTTGTGTTTATCACAGACCAAAACAAAAATTCGATTCCTATGTTAATGCTTGGAAAGTGGCTCCTACACGAGGCGCGTTCAACACTTGAAAAAATAGAATGTATTTTCCCTGTTCCTGGACATTCATTTGTTCTGCCCGATAGAGTGTTTGCAGGGATAGAAAAAGTTATCAGAAAGAAGGAGGTACTTTCTCAACCAGAGGAATTTTACACAATTTTGCAAAGGNACGATATTACTTCCTTGAGGATAAGATTCCACAAGAAAAGAGGGGCGATAGAAAGACTGCTAAGTCTACTTCAAAATGGGCTGCTATAAAAACATCTATTAAGCAAATGAACAAATAATCAAATGTACAGAATCCCATTACTGCAGGGAACGAAGTCGAAGGCACTATCTCAGTAGTGATCGCTCCATTTCAAAAAGTGGAGAGTGTACGAAAAGCAGACTCAAGATCTCGTCCTTAGTGTTAAGCAATGCTATTTCCAGACATGTGTTCAAAATGTCTTGAATTAGAAGAAAAAATAAAGAAAGAAACCAACAAAGCTAAAAAGACTGCATTTTTAACGGAAAAAAAAGCTTCGTGCGAAGGCTTTTTTAAGCCTGTTGAAGGAAAAAAAGACGGATTATTCAC